GAAAATAATGTGTTTTTTGAACCTTAAACCACATAAACACATTTCATTACACCAAATACACACAAAAAAAATATTTTTAGCAACATCATATGACCCCTTTAAGATCTGTATTTATAACTGTCGAGAGGTGCTTTGGTCAGACTGCAGTAGTCTGACAATAGAGGGGTCACTCTTGGCACCTTTGATGAATTCCTCCAGAGAGAGTCTGCCTATAAATTTGAAAAAGCAACAACAAAAATGTTATTTCACCCATTTCCAAGAATAACATCTGAGTGTTGCAAATATTGATGAAATATCCTAGAACTTAAGTGAATCCTAAATACATTTTATTGTTTTATCTGTGTGTCAGTGGTTGCCATGGACATGGTGAAAAATTTTCTAAATCAGTATTTTTGTTCAATTTACTTGGCAACCAAAGTTACATAAGACATGAAAACACTAAATTCGGCTTAATAAAAAAACTATTTGGAAATTGGGTAAGAAAAAAAAAATTGTTTAAATTCTGACATTTGACATTGGGTTAGGAAACCTAAATGCAAACTTAATTATCTTGATATCTTGTTTTAAGGAAATATATATATATTTTTTTTTTTTCCCCCCAAGTGAAGTTTCTATGACATTTTGTGTGGTTCAACTTCTATATAAATATTAACAGTGAGTGGGAGATGGATCTCGAGAGACGTACCATCGTTGTCCGTATCCATCTGTCGAAATATCTTATCTGTGCGTTTCTCTGGCGTCGACTCATCCTCAGGCATCTTCATCACAGATGACACCATTTTATAAATTGCCTGTGAAGATTAATGTAACTGTGTATCAAAGCATATGGTAGTTTGCCGTCACATGCAAAGGCTTCGGTTTTCAGTTGCAACAAGTTTGATAAGGCTGTCTTAATAATGCTACGACTGACAGTCAAAAGTTCCATAACGTAGCTGTCACTGTCACAGCTTCAATCAACACTTCCTATCAGCGTAATCAATGCAAATGATCATGAGCCCATTTCTCTGCCAGACACATTTAATGTCACTTTCAGATATTGTTTTATAACACGTCCTCGGTCGCAGGTGTAAAAGAGCCATCTATGTTATTAACATGAGAGTCAACAGACCCTTTGAAGTAGTGAACAAAGCCTTTGTGTTTGGCCACCATTTGTGGCAAGACCATATGGCCTGTGGAACACTTGATTGAGGAGATCTGTTTATTCAGGTCTGTATCGCCAAACATTAGACTGAGCCAATATTGATGTGGAACAAGCTGCTCTGAAAACAATAACTAGCCAGGTAAAATACAGAAATGCAAATGAAACCAAAAGGAAGGCAAGAATTAAAAAATACCTCACCTGTACGATCTCCAGCATTTCAGCTCGGCTGATGTATCCGTTGCCGTCCAGATCATACATGCTGAAGGCCCAGCGGAGCTTCTGCTCCAGGCCTCCGCGCGAGGTCACGCTCAGGGCGATAATGAACTCCCGGAAGTCAATGGTGGCATCGCTGTTGGTGTCGAAGGTGCGGAAGACGTGCTCTGCGAACTTCGAAGCGTCACCGTAGGGAAAGAAATTGGCGTAGATCTTCTTGAATTCCTCTACCGTTAGGTGGCCAGACGGGCAGTCCTTCAGGAAGCCGCGGTACCATTCCTGCAGCTCGTGCTCCGTGAACTCGGTGTTCTCCCGCAGGTCATTGAGGACCTCGGGTCGCAACTTGCTGTTCTGTTTACCCATGACGAAACACTCTCACAGATGATTCCCAGATCCTTGCTGCTCCCTGTCACACAAACACAAAGAAAAAAGTAGATACTTAGCTATTCTGAACCCAAAATTAGCCTCTTTTATACTTTCAGCACAAGCCACAATAAAGAGATTCACATTTCCTCTGCCAGATGTAGGGTTTGGAATAATGGAAAACGTGTTATCCTTCCAAACTGAGGGAGTGAATCCTGGTATCCATGGAAACCATTTAATACTTTGTTACGGTGAGAATTTATTGACTCCTTCACAGTGGGTTAGACTAACCCACCTTAGCAACAATCAAGTCGGCGTGGGTTACCAGGGAGATGATGAAGAGAGCATGTGTGTGGGTAATTTTGAACGTTTGGTGTGTCTTACTGTACATGAGCTTGTGCCTGCGGCGTTAAGAGGGGGCAGAGTGTGAAGCACTGCTAGCTCTATTTAAACAAACCATATAAAGACCATATAAATGGTGAGGTGGCCGGGAAGTGAAATTTAACGATAGGTTATGTAAGCTACACATGACCATATGCACTTGCTCCCATATTCTCGCACTTTTTACTACAGCCTCTTGCTCCATTCTTCAGTTTATCTGTTCCTATCCCTTTCTGAATCTACAGTTTAGTCAATGACGTAATGCCTGTTATTTTTTTGTCTGGATCTAATTATTTCTTTCAAAAATACATTAAAATGCTATTCATACATACAATGACTTGAATACATCTCTTCTGTGATCTTTAATTTCTGTATTAAAATTCATTTTGATATATTTGTGGGGACATAATATACAACTGTCCTCCTGACACAATATACAACTTTTTACTTGAGGGTTACATTACATGACATTTCATAATTTATATTTTCAAAACCATATGAAACCAACATGAACACAGAGTATATTTTTAAGAACTTGACCCTTAAACTAGATTTGAAAAAGATCATTGGTCACTATCAGATCTGTGTAAGCAGAAATCTATTACTATGACCAGACTGTGCATATTTTATTTGCAAAAACATATCTTCATGCAAGCATCTTTCTTTCCAGTGTTGCAGGATGTCCTACTTTAGCACACAAGCTCCTGGTTTCAAGACTGCATGGTGGCAAGTGAAATACCTTCTGCCATCTATTTCGTGCTGCATCCACAGAGCAACACTACGAGATAATTTTTTTCCTAAATAAAAATTCATGGGTTGCAATGTTACAATGACCTAAAAAACCTTTAATTTTCAAAGATACCGTAAATATCTATTTATATCTGCACTTTATTTCAGTTAAAGCTACACCTTCTTGCGAAGGTACTGTCTTAGATAGTAAGATAGTTAGTTCTAAGATAAATATATTTTATAGGCACTTAGACTTGATTCTCTAGACATGTAAACCTCTTCAGAAAATGGTTTAGCTCTGCTTGCTTAGTTTGTCAGGGCCATCATAAGGGTTGCTCCTCCCTTGGCTCGAGTCACATGGGTGAAGCTACTGGCCTGGCTGGCGTAGCTTGCTGCTCCCTCCCTCTTTTCCCTCAGACACTCACCAAACCACAAGAAACCCAGAACTTTCCATTCTAAAGGGAAAAAAATGTAAGCTCATGCTGCTGTCAAATGGAAAAAAATATGAAAAACGTAGGGTCCCCACAGGCCCTGATCCAGCAGAAATAACAACATCACAGGGGGCACATATATAGAGCTGAGAATCAGGCCTATATATGTGCCTCTCTGTAAAGAGGAACCAAAATGAAAGACAAGAGTGAGGAGTCGAACACAGCCCTAATTTTCCAAATGCTTGAAAAGCCCTCGCAAAAAATTGAATCAGAACAGCGAAGTGTGAGACACATATCCTCAAATGAATTGTGGGTGGAGAGCAGATGGTGTATTAGGCTATACTTGATGTTCCAGTACCTCATGATTCAGAAGCATCCTCTGCCACTCAAGTCACAAACCATAATGCTTTACAGGTGGTTGCACAACTGGCGCCTTTCTGTAAACGATACAAGTGGCACTCACACACCCTAAAGAAAACTGGGAAAACCATATAGCTTCTTATGTCAACATCCCAAAGAAATGAAGCCTTAAAGTATCATACAAGTAGTTTATATGTTTTATATGGAAATCTTCTGAAATCCTATGATAGTTTTGTGTGAGGAATAGACAAAAACATTATCTTTTCACTTGTTTTTCGCTAATAGTCTTAACATAGAGGACCAGTTAGCTGTACTCAAGAACTGGATCAGACTGATTCGTTCAGATTACTTTTGTGAACCAAATAAATGAAAAGATGCAACTGAAAAGCATATTATGTTCACGAATAGACTGAAATGTAATCCTTTCACTTTATATCAGTTATTCACTGATAGACTTAACATCGAGGACTAGTCAACCGAGTAGAACTCGAGAACTGTACAGACTGATTCGTTCTAATTGGTCTTGTGAACCAAATAAACTGATTTATTGAAAAGATTCAACTCACAAGAATAATTTGCTCACAAATAGACTGAAATCGAATCTTTTCACTTATTGTTCACTGACAGTCTTGACATAAAGAAGCAGACAGTTAACTGGATCAGATCATCAGAATGAAATTTTCAGATTAGTTTTGTGAACCAAATAAACTGATTCACTGAAAAAAAAATCCAACTCAAAAGAAGAATTTTTTCACGAATCAGACAATGTCACTTTCACTCATGAACTACCATGAATCCGGCAAGCATGATGCCAACACTTACAGTAAACTGAAGCTGTTTCTCACACAAAGCTATTGCATGACTTCAGAAAATGCATTAGACATATGGACCACTTTTATGATACTTTTATTAGGCTTCAGTGTCTTTTAAAGCTTGAAAGCTCCAGTTGCCATTAATTTTTAACAGCGTGGAAAGAAATTACTGGTACATTCTTCAGTACAATTTTTCCACAGAGGAAGGAAAGTTATACAGGTTTGGAACACCCTGAGAGGGAGAGTGAAATCATGACAGCAATTTTATTTTTGGGTGAACTATCCCTTTAAGGGTGAAAAGAGGTTTGGAAATGTCAATCAATGTATGGAAAAAAGCCAATACAGTTCAGCCAAGCTTGTGAGTATTTCAATGTTATTTCATTTACTTAAACTGACTGTCCAGAAGAATAAATTTGCATTTGTTAGTTTAACATATTTTCTCTGTTTATCCTAAATGCCATTTTCTATTACACTGACCCCTATTGCACTTTATTCTCACCAAATATTTTACCCTTGCCTGCCATGTCTCTAAAGCAAATATTCTGTCACAATAAGTCACAGCACTTATATTGCATCTAATGACTAAACATTCCTCTATGATTTCCACACAGGCCCTAGGTTCCAGTTTCACTCCCAGTAGCCTTAATTGCACAAACTTGTCTTTATTACCTTCCCTCCTCTCATTAGAGTAGACCCAATTACAGAGCTGCCACTCTGGCAAATGTGAATGTTGTCTCACCACCAGATTCCACACACTCACGTGGCATGTGTTTTTTCACAGACCAGTGTGAAAAGCTATACAGTGCAACTATTGCCCTTAATTCATTTCCAGATAACAGCTTTCATTACACCCCATTCAAAAAAAAAAAAAAAAAGAGCCAGGTTGCCATGTGCACGGATCAAATAGCCAGACAGACGTTACCTGGAAAGTGAGGGACACACTTTGTACACATCAGTGCAATTCAGCATGTAGTTGTACAGTATTCATCTTTGACCCATCATGCATAAAACATCAACTCAATTAACTGTGTGTGTGTGGGAGTGTTTGTTGGTGTGAGGCTCATTAAGCCTTCTATTCCCCAATGTGGCCTAACTAAAATGCACCCTGACAGGTGTCAAAAGATCAGTAGAACAGAAAACCCAGTTTTTCTGCCGCTCTGGTGGACTGTGAAATCACAGGAAAACAAACAATCCACTTGTACCCTCGTTTGAGAATTCAGGGTATTTTTCCCCGAAATAGCTTGTCACTAAATGTAATGATGTCAAAGGTCATCCAATACATTTCCCATCGAAGATGAATTTCCCCAAAACAATTTTACACATTTTGCTGGTATGTACCAGAACTAGGCTAAAATTAGAGATGGAAATGGAATGTTGACAGCGGTTCCGGTTTGTTCTGACAGCGACGGCAGGCTGGCAGGCATGCCACTGAGATGATTGCAATGCATCATGGAGAGACTTGATTGGAAAAGTGAGAAATCGACCTCTTACTCCTGCTGTGAAGATCATGCTGTGATCCACAAGGTGATCATAATACAGGGGAAATTAAGAATGCAAATGGCAATTGAATTGGAAGAATAACCTGTCAGTCCATCTGACTGCCATTGAAAAGCTGCACTGCAAATATTAATATAACATAAGGGAGCTATCACAAGGCGTGTTACTATAATTATACTCAGTTATATTATATATAGAAAGTAACTTAATATATTCACATATGTCAATTTACTCAGTGTATAATCGAGGAATCAAGTGATTTAATGTATCAAATTAATATGAAGGGTTAAATAGAGTCACTTAGCATAACAAGGTCAGGCTTCCTGGGCATTAACAACAGCCCCTGCTTTACATTCATGGATTTTTATGGAGGACTGGCCATGAACTAAGTTATAATATAATAAATTATAATATAATAAAAAAAATTTAAAAAATTTAATGAAATTTCTCCAACCTAGAAATACAAAACCATCGCAGACTGCTAAAATGAGACATCAAACCAGTATTTAACCTAAACTTCATGTTTTTAAGTGCCATAAAGAGCTGTGTATTGGTTCTCATGGACCGCTATCATGCAAATGATGGGTTACAAACAGCGGCATATGTTGCTGAAAAAATATATTAGACTGAGGCTTAAAAGAGACATCAACGTACCTCTATGAAACCGACAGAGCTGATATGTCCCTCGGTTTGTCAACTGTAGCCTTGGTCCGTCGGGTCCTGAAGAAGGAGTGTCCTCACAAAACTTTCAACATTTTCGCTGCATGAAAAAACTAACAGAAGCTTGTATATAATATAATAAATTATAATATAATAAAAAAAATTTAATGAAATTTCTCCAACCTAGAAATACAAAACCATCGCAGACTGCTAAAATGAGACATCAAACCAGTATTTAACCTAAACTTCATGTTTTTAAGTGCCATAAAGAGCTGTGTATTGGTTCTCATGGACCGCTATCATGCAAATGATGGGTTACAAACAGCGGCATATGTTGCTGAAAAAATATATTAGACTGAGGCTTAAAAGAGACATCAACGTACCTCTATGAAACCGACAGAGCTGATATGTCCCTCGGTTTGTCAACTGTAGCCTTGGTCCGTCGGGTCCTGAAGAAGGAGTGTCCTCACAAAACTTTCAACATTTTCGCTGCATGAAAAAACTAACAGAAGCTTGTATATACAAACAAAAAAACGAAATAAGGTACGTTTACACGTACCGGTCGATCTTGTAGTCTAAAAGTTTGAATGTTGTTTTAATAAAAGCGAAGCGAAAAAGCTATAAATTGCTGAATATTCTACATACCCCATAACATCTCAAAGGCGCACTTGAAACCTCATAATTGAGCGAGAGACTTGACACCACACACACAGCTCTGCTCCGCTGTCAATGGACGAGACCACCACTACACTGTAGGGGGGACTTGTGGATCTTAGAAAAGGATGTCAGTATCAAATTTGAGAACATTCACATTCTAAACAAATGTTTCACGTTGCGATATGGTTGAAGACAAGTAATAAACCATTTCTGTGCGCACACAGCGTTCTAGAGAGAGCAAGACACCCATGCTACTCTTTGGACGAGTCTGTACACTTCGAAGTAGAGCAGCAATATACTGTAAAAAGAACAGCTCGCCAGCGGAAAAGAAAGCTCATACTTGTCTGCAGCTGGATACTGTTGCATTCCCCCGATTTCTCCTGTAATTCTCTCTCTCTCTCTCTATTCTTGATTACAAGAAGGAAACGTTTGACAGCATAAGCCTAATAGCTCAAATTTAAATAAAGTATATGTAGATTTAATTAAATAACGAGGCTATTTATCTATCTTCTTCTTTACCTAATAAAATCATGTGTTGTACGTGCCGTTTCATGTTGAACAAGTTTTTGTTAAATAAATTTCCTCTATACAGCCCCCAGCAAACCCAGATTAATTAATGTCAAGTACTATTGTGGCCTCTTATTATTTAGTTTTTCTTTTATTATTATAATTTATTTATTTTTTCCAATATCCAATCACTGCAAACGACCTGGTACCTAATGACTCAATTTAACCCAAATAACATCACCCTATATTAAATATGGATTTAGATTTTAAAATTCAGTTATTATGTCTTACATGTTTTAATAGCTCAAATTGGCCATCTGAATACCATTCTCACGGTTCCAAAATTATTTTTATATTTTACAAAATTATAGCACTCATAGGTTTGAGATGGAAAACTCTGATGGAAATATGTTCGACATCTCCACCAGGAGGCAGCAGATGTTGCCTTGTGATTTCTCATGTAGCCAAAAGTGTACACAGCTTGTCATAAATTCTAATATTAGCTTACTGTGTATTCCTGTATATGTAAAAACATTATAAAAATTTTTTTCACAACATTCAGATACGTTCTAAAACACATATCTTGAGAAATCTTGAGTTATCTCAGCTCTAGGCCCTATACATTATGTCCTCTCCAAAAATTCATGTTGTGATTTTGAAATGCAGTGTGATTCATATTTCAACAATAAGGGATTTTTGACATAAAAAGATCCTTTCATCTAATTTTTCATTATTTGAAAAATAACCAATCTTTCCAAAACAGAAAGAATGATCTCTGACGTATGATTGTACAAATGACCTTTGCTCTTGTTATGGAATAACACCTGTTATTCTTATGAAGCTCTATGAGTCTATGCAACTAAAACTTCTTTTATGTTTTTATAATATTTTCTATTCATATACATTTCTCAACTGAATGGACTCCAGACCCATAAACCACCTCCCATGATTACAAATGATTCTTGAGAATGAGAGACCATGATGACATTGATTTCACAAAAAACAGCTTATGTTGACAGATATAACACACACACACACACACACACACACACACACACACACACACACACACGGGCAATGGACTTTATGGAAGTGTGCTGATATTTCCATACCATGTTGACTCCATGCCTCTTCTCTGCTGAAAAAAAAAAACAGTTTGTATAAATTAAAATACAACAAAAATATACACATAAAATTTACACTTTGTTTTGATCTATCTATCATTAATGGCATAATATATTTAAATACTCAAAGCAAATCAATATAAGATCTATACTTAGTTTAATTTAACTCAACACAACCCAACTAAACTTAAAAAATAAATAAAATAAAATAGGCCCAATCTTCATGCGGTGGCCTGAAAATCATACCACTCAATGTTCTGCATTATAAAGTCCAGTTTTAAGATTTTTCATTTTAGGAACTGATTTGAAGTTTAACTACAAAACAAACAATACATGCTGGTTGTTGGGGTTGAGATGATTGATTTTTGTCTGTTGATTTAGCCTAAAAACAACCACCCATTAGATCAGCATCAATCAGACTGCAAGGAAATGTCTCATCTCTCAAAAGTATCTAGATTTTTCTAGAAAATCTTTGCATTATTTGCACATAATGTTATTTAGAAATTCTAAAGAAAGCAAGATTTGGTTTAATTTAGTCAAATATACAATGTTGTTCAAAAGAAGAAAAATCTAAATGCAAGTCCATTTTTATGACAGGTTTGCCATTAACTGTATATGGATTATGGGATAATGCTGGAGTTAGTTTTAAACTAACAAACAACATTAATGTTCATAAAAATAGAAAACAAAATAGTGAAAAAGAGGAACTCTTACAATCTGTTGTCTTTTGTGAATTCTTCCTTAAATCATGATATAGTGCAGATGCCGTGTTGAGTGTCACATGCAAAACATGTGAGTAAAGTACATGTATCTATTGCACAGTAAGCAATTCCCACTCCCATTATGAGGTCTCATATCTTAAGAAAAATGGTTCTAAACAGTACCAGAAAAAAGGTTCTTCAGCTTGTAACAATAGCAGAACACTTTTTGGTGCTGAATAGAACCATTTTTATAGGGTTCCATAAAGAACCATGCTTTGAAAGTGCTACATAGGACCTTAATGGTGTTATAAATGACCTTTTCATTTCAGGTCACTTATAACATCATTATCTATATACCATTAACACTATATTATAGAGGTCAAGAAAATATGATCATATTACCCCAATTTTACAGTCTCTGCACTGGCTACCTATTAAGTTCCGTATCAGTTACAAAATATTATTACTTGCCTATAAGGCCCTTAATGGGTTAGCTCCTGCGTACCTAACTAGTCTTCTACCACGCTACAATCCATCACGCTCCCTAAGGTCGCAAAACTCTGGACTTTTGGTAGTACCTAGGATAGCAAAGTCTACTAAAGGAGGTAGAGCTTTTTCGCATTTGGCTCCCAAACTCTGGAATAGCCTTCCTGATAACGTTCGGGGTTCAGACACACTCTCTCTGTTTAAATCTAGTGTGGTAACTCGGATTTACACAAGCTTCAGTCTGGATCCAGAACATCTGAGAAGAGATGATGCCAACCCCTCAGAGGACCTCAGATGATGCCAACCCTGAAACAACATACAGAACTACCACATTTTGCTATAAGTTTGATTGCATCATATAATAATTGCTGTTAATAGTGTCCATCGTCTGTTTTATTACATCTTAAATTGATTTTTCCAATGATAGCTTATTTTAATTAATATTAGTATATTATTATATTTACATCATTAATATTTGTTTTATTCATATTATTTGTATATGTTGTTTATTAATATTGTTCTCCAACTCTCTGTCTGCCTGGTCTTATAATATCTTGTAGCCTCTATTTGCATTTTACATAAAAACAACAACAACAACAACATGTAGTTTCAATTAAGTACTTTTATTTATTTTTTATTAATGACATCATATTGCAGCAAAATGACAGTACTCTAACAACAGTTATTAGCAGAATACATTAATAAATGACAATTGACATTGAACACAAATAAGCAAAACAAAATAGAAACAGAAAATAGTGTAATGAAGACCAAGTTCCAGCAAAATACTGTATCTTCAGGATCCTCTATGATCCTCTAAGTCCATCATTATGTGTATTTTGGTGTGACTGCGTGGCAGTTTCTCTCTGCAGATGATGAGGTTATAGGATGTGACAGCATCTGAAATACACAACTGAGTTTAGAATGTGTCTGCTTCCATTTGTTTATGTAAAAACAATTGTTTATGAAGGCCAAAAGTAGTATTTGAGCACTTCACAATGTTATAAGAAAAAAATGTTATATTAAGTCATGGAATAGCGGTGACTAGTTTATGTATAAACCCAATTAAAAATAAATAACAATCTAACAATATAAATTCAATATTTTTGTTACTTAGTGGTGAATTAAGTGAGCTGGTTGCACTTTCATGTTCTGTTAAACTAAAAAGAGAAAAAAGACATGATTGGTAGGATTAGGAAACCAGTCACAATTTGAAAGATAACAATTATAGACATTTTAAGAAAGAAATAATTTACCTGTTAAGAGTGTGTTGAAAGTCTGTGTAGTTGGATGGCTGAGCTCCAGAAAATCAGCAATGAGACATCTTTTTTTTTTTTTTAGTGTGTAGCCTCTATTAGGGTTTTACATTAAAACAACAACAGCAACAACATATTGTGTGAATTAGTTACTTTTTATTGACGTGAAATTGCAGCAAAAATGTCAGTGCTCATAACAACAGTTGTTAGCTGAATACATTCATTCAATTGACACGGAACATGAATAAATACATGAAGTAAAACACAAAATAAAAACAAAAAATAGATGTGATGAAGGCAAAGTTCCAGTGAAATATCTTCACAATCCTCTATGATGCCTTCAAGTCCATCATTTTGGTGTGATTGAGTGGCAGTTTCTCTTTGCAAATGATGAGGTTGTGGGATGTGATGCATCTGAAATACACAACTGAGTTTAGTTTTACCGTGTGTCCATTTGTTCGAGTAAAAACAATTATGTTTATGAAGGCCAAAAGCAAAAATGGACAGTATGTGAGCCCTTCACAATCTTAAAAGAAAAAAGTGATATAAAGTCATGGAATAGCTTTAATATTTTTTTGAGACTGGGTTTGTTGGCTTTGTTTATGCATAAACCCAAGTAATAATTAAAACTTTCTAACAATTTGGACAATAAATTCAATGCCTCTGTACTTACTAGGTGGAGAAAAGGAGAGAAGTATTCTCAGCTTAACAGAGCTGCTCACACTTACATGTGACCAAAAAAACTAAAAAGAGAAAAGAACATGTTTGTTTGGAAACCAGTAACAATTTTAAATTTAAATTTGTAATTCAGTATCGTTTACCTGTTGAGAGTTTGTTGACAGTCTGTGTAGTTTGATTACTGAGCTCCAGAAAATCAGTAATGAGGTGCTTTGACAGTTACAGATTTGAAAAACAGAAAGGCGGGAAAAAAGAACCATAAACTCTAACACAGGGCTGTCCAAACTCGGTCCTGGAGGGCCGGTGTCCTGCAGAATTTAGCTCCCACTTGGTAAGAGCTTGATTAGCTGCTTCAGGTGTGTTTAATTAGGGTTGGAGCTAAACTCTGCAGGACACCGGCCCTCCAGGACCGAGTTTGGACAGCCCTGCTCTAACACAAAGAACCATTTCAGCATAAAAGGGTTCTTCAGGATGCTATGGTTCTACATAGAATCGTTACTACATGTAAAGAACCTTTAAAGAACCATCTTTTTTTTTTTTTTTTTTAGAGTGAAGGCCCTGCTGACTAAATGTTTTGAACTAAACCAAAGTATCTAACAAATGCTACATTGAGAGGGAATGCTTTCAAGCATCAGTGCAAAAACTTTAAGGTCTAGTAGAATAAGACTCACTATATCAGTCACCATTAAGTCATACCACAACTGAAAGTTCATGTGTCTAGACAACAGAAATGTTTCACATTTAATTTATTTAAAGGACTCTGATTGCAGTCAAATATGGCAGGACAGGAGACAATATCATGGAGGACTTGAAGCACAAAAATAATTTTGTTGAGTAAGAAGATCCATTGCATTATCTACTGAAAAAGGTAAGCAACTTGCCTCCTAAGACAAAAGATAAGCTCATCAATGCAAGAATGAAGGTTGGATCCAACTCAAATGTCCTGATCAAAGTCCGTGCAGCATGTAAATGAATGTGTCTCCTAAAAATGTATGTATGCTATCAAACAATAGAGTCGACGAGTCTTTAAGAAAATGTAATATTTATTAAGTACACTTGTTTGTGAATAAACATGAAAAATAAGTGTTTAATTGTAAAATTATATTAAACTCACACAAACAGGTTTTCATGATTTATTTCTTTTGTCGCTTGCCATTTCAGTTTACAATAATCATTTTTGCATTACATTAAAATGATTCTTTGTCTATTTAACATATATGAGCCTGTGCTGCTGTTATTGCATCCCAAAACTGTTCAAGCTCAAGCCCTTATCTGAAACTGCTTGTAATCAGAGTAGGTGCTGATAAAGGGGTGTATTACAAACCTCAAATGCTTCTGAGGCAATACACTGTACATTCTGTACAAATACAAAATGTCTTTTGCATTTTGTGTTTACTTCAGCAATGGAAGCACAGTACTGTTCATTTAACATTTACAATACAATAGACCTATACAACAATACCAAATCATTAAAGTTATAAATTGAATAAAGAAAATACATTATTATTTTTGTTGTTATTATTATGAGTATTAGCATTCTTATTATTATCATCAATATTAATAATAATTAATAATATATACCTTAATAAAATCATTGACAGTCACCCTTGTAAACCCTCACAAAAGGGCTTTTATTTGTGGTCTTGTTGATTAGATAAAAGTTATCTTGCAGTAGTTGCGCAACTGTCTGTGTTTCTTTCTTGTACAGTATACTGTATTGAGGTCAGGTTCACACATTTATCCATCAGCTATGAATAATGCCTGGCTCAGAGACTGATAAAAGTGCGCATAGAATTAATAACCATATGTTAATGAGGGAATGAGCATATCAGGGTCTGTGTGCATGCCTGCACATGCCTCTGTGTATGGCTATGTGCAATATAATGCAGCACTCACATCAGCACAAAATCAAGGTTTCACTATACATTGATTTTGTGACTGATGATAACAGTAAACTGGGTTAACAAATTAACGATTCATGACTGTTTTAAAGTTCTTTGATCAACAGTAATGCTGAAATAAAATAAAATTTACTATTCATATATTATATAAAAGAATGTTTGACACAAGTGTTAATGTTCCTTTTAATTTCCTCAGATCTATAAAACGAAAAACACATCTTCATGCAACCGTGTTTTATCCATTAAGCTCTAAATTTCAGTGGACAAATATATAGTCTGAAAATAGCAAAAAAAATAAACCAACACAGGGACAATATAAGATACTATACACTGTAAAGAAAAATCTATAGAAAAACATATAATGTCCTGGCATAAAATTTCCAGTACCTTTTTTGTTGACTTTACGGATCTACTTCAACCCTTAAACAGAACATAAGGCAATGCGTAATTCATAATATGGGTAAAACACCGGTGAAAACTCATTAAAGAATGGTACATTGTGCCTTATTTTTACAGATTATTCTTATATATATATATATATATATATAT